AAAAAGTAAATCAGGCGACCATAAAGTTTAAAATCCAAGTCAATAGGAAATGGTCAATACATGTGTAAAGATGGTTACCGGAAGACGCAATTATATCACTCATGAAGAAATTTAAATCATTTCACTTTATGCTTAATATTGTGCTGAAGGGGGATGTTGTCCATCAGGGGGACGACGAAAGCTCCGCAACTAAACCAATCAGCTCAGAGAACACTATTAATTGCAAATCATCTACCTGAGCTATAAATCTTCTCTATTATATTATGATATTAATTATTAATCCTCTTGGTTCCAAGTGGAACATAAGGCTTCATCAGAACATTTCCATTTCGTCCGGTTCTCCGCAGTCCGCCTCATCTGTCTTTATGATTGTCCATAATCTCTCATCTTCTCTTCGCACGATTTCCTTCATATCACCCTCCAACCAACGCCCAACTCGTCGTCTCCCATTCGAGTTCCACTCGAGCGATGGACTGGAATGCGGTATACTCCGACAATCTTTTCAGCACTAAACATTGTGATCATTAAGATCTGGGATAATTGACTTGTGTAGGAGTGTTGTTAAAGCGTTTCACTTAACAAGTCTTGCTGGTCTGTAATTCTATATTAGATAAGTTTATTTTAAATATTTTACTCAGCGATGGAGTATTAACAGCTAGATGACAAGGTTTCGAGCATAATAATCATATCAATTTTAGTCATACGGTTCCACAATTTGTCTTATATATATATTCTCTTTACTCTGTCTATCCAACTTCCATTTGTTGTTTGTTACTACTTTCGATATCTCCGGTATAGGTGTTGCGTCATTCTGATTGCTGCACGTCAGCGATGTTGAATCGATAAATTAAGACTCTCTGTCTCTTCACTCAACCATATTACTTTTTAATACTCTCACTCTGTCCTGCTCATCCTACCGTGTGATTACATGCAAGTGAATGCAGTGAAATGGCTCAGCTTTCTTTTAGATTATTTAACTTAGCAAGGTCAACCATTCTAGGTCTAGCTGAATCCCAATGTTCCAAAAATCTAGTTGACCTTGGTCTACTAGTTTGACGACCTATGTAATTGACCTTACTGACAGTCATTACATGATATTAGTAGTCATATCTAAGCAGCAGGTTTCAGGGTTGGGAATATAAATTACAATTTCGTTTGAGAATAGAAGAAAATAGCGAATGTACAAGAATAATATCAGCTCATCGTTTATTATTTCGAGGATTCTTCTCAACCAGCTACATTCGGAACAATACAACTGACATACAAATTACATTAAAGATTTGAACATACCCTTTTTTTACTATGACAAGGAGTAATTGGTATAAACTAAGAGTAACATCACTTCGGGATGATGTACATCGTTAAATTATTAAGAGTTATAAAGATTGAGTACTTACCAATTTACATGTAAGTGCCTAAGCATATACATGAAGGAAAAGTTACTGTGGACATTTCTGAACACATAGTCAAGAATTTAAAACTGAAGGGCTCACAAGCATTAAACAGTTCGATTGCGCACCATTTATCAAAAACAGGCCGTGTTATGGACAAGGCGTTGTGAAAGCGTTCAAAATAATCAACGGGCAAAAAGCCTACCTTACTACGTTTTGCTGAGGCAGTCATCACCAAACGATTAAAACCAAATCTATGTAAACAGAAAGAGACAGTGGTGAATCTTCAACTACCTTGACGATAACAAACTATTCAATTTTATTACCTCATCTTCTGTTATTTTTAAGAAAGTTTATTGGTTCATCTGAACATGACTCATGCTACATCTGTTTTACTGTTTCATACAAACATATTTTCTATGGTTATGTCACCTATTGTAATAGGTTACACTCTTTGCAATTTAATTCTGTTTCTGCCTAAAGTCTTTAAATCTATCGGTCTAATTACCCTATAAATACTCAGTCTTTTTGAGTCCTAATAATTTAACAAATTGCATCTTTCCGAACTTGTGCTGTCACTCTAAGTTCTAATCAATTGCTTGTTGTCATCCTGGAATACTAGGAACAATAATAACTGGCTTTATTCCAGAAACAGTACTAATGTTACAGTGTGCAATTTTGAGCATCTGGTACAATATTGCATTTGATTTTATCGAACTTCTAATAAATCAAATCCTTAAAAGCTAACTAACAGAAGTAACTGGTCTCCTGATTGGTATTCGGTAAATAAAACTGTTTTTCTATATGATATGGCTAATAAATGGAACAATATAGTATTGTATCAGCAGAAGGAAAGATACAAAAGCCAAGGCATATTTTCAGTGATCAAACAGCTCTTTATTTAGATACAGTTTTATGTTCTCTAACCGATCACTGAGCGTGTGATTTTGGTTTGCATTAAACGACGTGAAATAGAATATTCAAACAGATATATAGTATTCTGTTGCTAATGCAGCATTGAACTGTGGGAATATGTAAGAATAATATTCTGTTGGAACACTTTGTCTGTATCACACCACCACAATCGTCCTCCCCACCATATACTTTCGACTGAAGGTAGTCCCATCTTCTTGGTGCTGACTTCTTTGTTTGCTTGTCTTGTTGTATCCAGTTCCGGAACTCGCTGACATTCACCCGCTCCTCTCTGTTTGCATTTCTGGTCTTATACGCGTGACCTCGTCTCACGGTGACCATGTATGGTCCTTCCCACTTTGGAAGCAGTTTGCGTGACCCTGGTGCGTAGTGGCCGGTGTTTCGCTTCACACTATCATATCCTGCTCTCGCCCAACCTCTAACCAGCGTTCCGAGTAAAAGCCTCTTCGCTGACGAATGTTGGACGCCATTCAACTCCCACACAACCTCGAAGTCCTGCTCGAAGATCCATAAAGCTCCTTCTTCAAAAACTGCAGGGTATAGGCTTTCCATTTGTAGGCAAGCAGTGACACCAAATGTAACAGCATAAGGCAAGACAGGGAAGCCAAGGTATATTTTCTACTGATCAAACCAATATATATATATATATATATATATATAGTATTCTGTTGCTAATGCAGTGTTGAATTATAGGAATGTGTGAGAATTATGTTCCGTTGGAACACAGTGTCTGTATCCCACCACCACAATACAACCTCTACCATCACGGTGCTCATTCTCAACTTATATTGTTTGAGTTCACAATTCCTAATTATTTCTAATTACAAATCGTCAAATTCAGTATACTATTAAATAAATCTCTTTCAGGTGTTCTATTAATCGGGGTGATTTACTTCAGAAAAATCACCACACATCTGAAACGATGAATAACAGTGTAAGTTAATTGTTTCGAGCCAATGTAATTATTGAATTCTAATAAATTTATTATTTATTTTTGAAAAAACACTGTCTAGAGTCATTTCATTTATTCCCTGTCTTTCGAGTGGAATAATCTCGTTGTCTTAGAATATAAAGATGATATAGTCCCCCCTCCTAGGTGAGGACGTTGACAAAATATAGTATAGTCATGTGAATACATTGAGTTCCAATATGCGAATGTTTAGCATACGATTCGCTCCCACCAAATATAAGAAGATTGGACTGGCCTATATTGACTCACTCCAAGCTTAGAATTAGGGAGTGAAGTGGTGGCCAAGCGTGTTGACCTCTTCAATTATTTGGGAAGTTGCATCAGCCAACGCCAACTGGTTGATCACTGACGAAATCTCAGTACGGAGACAGAAGGCTCGTTCGGCATATGCTCGCCAACTTACGCCATCTCTGGCTAAGAAGACGTGATATCCAGCTATCTGGCTGCCAACCAAAGGGCGTGTGTAATGCACTGCAGCAGTCCGCTCCGTCATACTTTATCGCTGTGAGTGAGACATGGCCATTGAGAGTAGAAGACGTGAAAAGCCTGGCTAGCTGTCTTTGGCCAAAGATGTCTGCATCCGATTTCCAATATTAAGTGGTTTAATAAGGTGAGCAATATCGTCAGCAGCTGAACATCTCAGTAGATTATGTTTAAGAGAAGAACTACATCGAATTACTGTGAAACTCAATAATATACGAAATGAAATCGAAAAACTCAAACGGAAACTCAAATGTATGGTCAATGACAAAGATTATGTAATTGTTGTTGAAACATCCGAAAAAGCTAGAGAATCAGCATCAAGAAAATCAAAAGCCACACAAATCAAAAAATTCAACAAACTAATTGAAGAAAGGAACACAGCAAATAAAATTGATGTCAACGCTTCATCCTCTATCGACAAAACAAAGTGGGTGATCAACCTCTCATCAAAAGAATTAAGCTCTAGTGAGATAAAAGTACTTGAGAAAGGACTAAATTTCAATGTAACAGTTAACAAATTAAAACCAGAGGATGTCATTCCTAGCATAGAAGTAGCGCTAGGTTCAATAGATAAGACAACAGCAGAAGGGGTTCGAGCACAATGTGCATTAACCCTGAAAAATCAAAAGAAGGCAAAATCAAACTTAACAAAATTGGAAAGAGAAGCTTTAATTAATCTTAAACAGGATAAAAATATTGTCATTGCAAACGCTGATAAAGGAAACGCCACCGTAGTTCTGAATAAATCTGACTATATCAAAAAAGTTATTGAACATATTCAAACGGGTCCATATGAGGAAATTAAGAAGCCTGTAGATACAATAATGAATAAGGTTAAGAAATCTACAACAGAACTAATACGCAGAATGAAGCCGTCACTGGGTGAGTCTAAATGGTTTAACTTAATGCCTAAAACTAATAATGCTAGTAGATTATATGGTACTATTAAAATACATAAGCCAGGATACCCAATAAGGCCAATAGTAGATTTTAGAAATACCCCAACTTATGAATTATCAAAACACTTAGCTTCAATACTATGCCCTATCAGAAATAATTCAAACTCTAGATTAACTAATTCATATGAGATGAAAAGTAAACTAAATGACATTCAACTAGCGAATGACGAAACAATGGTCAGTTTTGATATAACCAGTCTTTATACTAATATACCAGTCAATATGGCCTTAGAAGCAGTTAAAAAAGAACTAACTGCGGATACTGAACTCAATCATAGGACAAAGCTGTCCATTGAAGAAATTATTTTAGGGATTCAGCTATGCCTCACATCTACTATCTTCAAGTTCCAAGACAAAATATATAGACAAACAGAAGGTGTAGCAATGGGATCACCAATATCCCCTATTGTAGCAGACATCTTTATGGACAGCTGGGAAAATAGTGCACTCAATACATTTAATCCTAGGCCAAAAATATGGTGGAGATATGTAGATGACACATTCACAGTGTTAAAAACAGAACATATCTCTAGCTTCTTAACACATATAAACTCACAAGTAGAAGGAATAAAATTCACATTGGAATCAGAAAATGAACAAGGAGAATTAACCATGTTAGATTGTAAGATAAAACGAATAGAAGAAGGCGAACTACACACTAGTGTTTATAGAAAACCAACGCATTCTAATAGATATTTAGACTTTAATTCATCTCATCCGTTAACTGTTAAGGCAGGCTTGGTTAAGTGTCTGACAAACCGAGCCATAGCACTAAGTAGCACAAAAAAGGACCTAAATGACGAAATAAAACAGATAGAAGAAGCGTTGGTGTTGAATAACTATCCTATAAAATTCATTAAGAAGATCAGTAAACGCCAAAAACAAAATAAAAATAATTGTGTAACTAGTAGTAATAACATAAATAAGAGAGAATATAAGTCTTCCACTGTTATACCATATAAGGAGGGGACATCTGAGGCCATACGTAGGATTCTCAATAAAGCAGGAATTAGGGTGGCATTCAAACCAACAAACTCACTCAGAGACAAACTTTGTAGGTTAAAGGACCCGTTGGACCCCATTAAACAAAATAATATAATTTATAAAATACCTTGCAATGACTGTGAAGTCAACTACATAGGTCAAACTAGTAGGTCAGGGATAGTCAGATTATCAGAACATAAGAATTTAGCTAAAGGGAAAATGATTGACCCTGAAAAGATAAGTAATTTAGAAAAAAGCTCAGCTATTGCACTTCACGCAATAACAAACAACCACACAATAGGGTGGGATAGGGTTAAAATTCTAAAAAGTAATATAGGTAGGTGGAAAGAGAGGTTGATTACGGAATCCTTATTCATCGAGTCTACACCCAACACATGCAACAGAAGTGACTCAATGCAAATACCAGAAATATGGAAGATATTATTACCGCCAGTCAAATCAGAAGAAGATAAATAGTCTTAAAATTCTATTTCCATTCAAGCACATCATAACATTCTAACAATCAACTTATTATGACTATAAAAACACTCGTCGTAATTCCCATCTAATTGCAATGGATTAATAACACTTGTATTATTGCCACCAGTCAAATCAGAAGCGGATAATAAATAATCTTAAATTGTATTCTATTTCCATTCAAACACATCAAAACATTCTATCAATCAACTTATTATGACTGTAAAAACACTCGTTGTATTTCCCATCTAATTGCAATGGATTAATAACATTCGTACTATTATTTCTGAATGTACATTATCTCATATTGAATTTTATTCCAATATCTAGTCGATTCCGCACATGTATATAAATGAAGGAAAGAAGTTGTGTGAGTAACTTGATATGATTATGAGCAATAGTTTGTGCTCGAAACGTCATCAGTTAATATAACTGTACTACACTGTGTGATTTAAAAATAAATTCTTATCCATTATGGAATTATACTCTACCACAGTGCCCAAGTTTTATACTTATATCAATTAGAGCAATATTGAGGTTAGACATCATTCAAGTGCCAGGTGATTTGGAGGGGAAATAAATCGACGGAGTTGTGAAGCAGCTGCATCTACTGAGATGGTTAGGACATATATTACGCATCCCTAACCTAGTCATCGCTTTACTCGACCGACGGGCAATGTTAGCTGAGTGATACAGGATGGATCAGGTTGAAAAAGAGCCAGTGGTAGTCAAACCAAAACATGGCTTCATAAGTCAAAGAAATCTACGACAGTTAGTTTAAGCCAGCCACATGGAGCAAGATGTAGACTTCCTGATTGGTTGGGGTCCTCAGGATGGTAAAAACTAATGAAAGCTGGAGATAATTGATGATATGGCTCAAAGTCCTCGTTCTTGATGGCTGGCGCAGATGCATCCACTCCTTGTGACGTATAATTTCCAATAAAACTATTTAATTCTTCCATATTACCATTCTTTTTGCCTTAATTCTCTGTCGACTGTTTCCGTTTTGCATATTTCTTTTACTTTCTTCTCTTGGTTCACGTGCTTAGTGAAGTTTGGCAACTTGAACTGCTGCACATCTGTGCAAAGTTCTACGGTGAAACCAGTCAGTCAGTGGAAGTGTATTACAGTCTCTGAAAGTTATTCCAGCTGGGTATTTCAAAACTAATCACGTATGTGACATAACCAGTTTATATACTAATATTCCAAGTAAGATAGCTCTGAAGGCAGTTAAGAATGAACTGAGCATTGACCCTGAACACGAAAGTAGGACTAAGCTCTCGTTCGATGAAATAACATTAGGTGTTCAGCTATGTCTATCCTCCAGTGCATTCACATTTCAAAACAAATTATCTAAATAAACAAATGGGGTGTCAATGGGATCGCCAACATTCCCAGTAGTTGCAGGCATATTTATGGACAGTCAGGAACATTATGCTCTTTTAGAACGTTTAATCCTACTGCAAGGTTATGGAGGAAATATGTGGATGACACATTCCATCACTGTGCTGAAATTTGAACATATCCCTAAGCTTGTCACACAGATAAACTCAGTAATAGGCGGAATCCAATTCTTTTCTGGGTTAGAAAACGAACTTAGTGAGTTGGCCTTGCTAGATTGTAGAATAAAACGAAAACAAAATGGTGGGTTAGACATTAGTTGGCATTTATAGGAAACTGATACACTCTAATAAATACTTAGACTTTAATTCATCCCATCCACAGTCGGTAAAGAGAGGTTTAGTTAAGTGTGATGTTTCACACAGTGAGTGAAACAGCATTATTGTTCACTGGATGACGTTTCGAACAAAATTTATTGTTCATAATCATATCAATTGTAATCACACGACTTTGACACTTGAGTTTTATAGTTTTCTTTGTTTTCTCCTATTTGTCGTAGGGGTAGTAGAATTTTTCAGATATCTGGGAGAGGTGATGAGGCATTCCTGTTACACGTGTTTGCAGTTAATTCGATAAACAAAGCTTCTGTTATGAATCTCTCCCTATACCCTGTGACATTAGATTTTATAACTGTCATCCTATCCCCTCCTATTTTATGCTTGGTTGTGTGTAATTGCATGTGGTGTAGTGCTATAGCTGAACTATTCTCTAGATTTCTTATCTTATTCGGGTCAACCAATCTAGATTTTGCTGCTAGGTTTTTATGTTCGGCTAGTCTGACTCACTGACCCTGTTCTACTAGTTTGACCTATGTATTTGACCTGACAATCATTGCAGGTAGGGTATTAGATAAACTAAATTGTTTTGTTTTAAAGGCTCCATAGGCTATATGCTTTAACCTACAAAGCTTGTTTCTAATTGAGTTTGTGGGTAGTTGAATGCCGTTTATATTCCTGCTTTGTTAAGAATTCTGCGTAAGGTTGTTTTCGAGTTTCCTTCCTTGTATGGAATTACTACTGATGATTTAGATTCCTTATTGTTGGTGTCGTCATTAATATTATTATTATTATCACTATTATTATTAGCATTATCATTATTATCACTATCGCTACTATCATTATTTATTTTATTTTTACATTTCCTTACATATTTCCTGATTAATTTATCCGGGTAATTATTAAGTTGAGACTTGATAATTCTACTACCCCCACGACAAAAAGGAGAAAACAAAGAAAACTATAAAACTCAAGTTTCAAAGTCGTGTGATTACAGTTGATATGATTATGAACAATAAATTTTGTTCGAAACGTCATCCAGTGAACAATAATGCTGTTTCACTCACTGTGTGAAACATCTAATAAACAGACTAATATGGAATTACTTACTACCACAGTGCCCAAGTTTTACACATATATTAGTTAAATGTCTTCATAATCGGGCCAAGAACCAAAATGGTAGGCCAGAAGATATAAATAAGTCAAAAACAAATGAAGAACCAAAGAAAAACCAGTATTACTAATAAGAATATCGAAACTGATATAGAATTCAAAACCTCTGTAGTACCACGGCGTTTAAAGAAGGAACGTCAGAGGCTTCATGTGGGATTCGCGATAAGGCTGGAATTAGACGGGATGGCATTTAAACCAACCAAACATCTCTCTTAGTGATAAACTTTGTTGGTTTAAGGACCCAATAGATTCAATTAAGAAAAATAATATAATTTACCAAATAAAATGTAAAGGCTGTCAGCGAGATCACCTACACAGGTCAGTGAAACTAGTAGGTCGAGATCAACTGGATTTATGGAAAGATGAAAATTTAGCTAAACCTAGAATAATTGACCCTGTTGAGTTAAAAAACCTGGAACTAATAGAGCTGAGCTATTTCACTGCATTCACTTGCATGTAATCACACAACGATAGGGTGGGTGAGACAGGTTGAGAACGATAAAAAGTAATACAGTTAGGTAGGGAGAGGGAGAGGTTAATTGCTGAATACCTTCGGATGGTTTCATGACTGCTCACAAGTTTTCATTCCCCCCCCCCCCCGCCGCCAGTTTCACATGTCACATTCCAGTATCCAAAATGTTGCTTTCCATTCGAGCGCCTGCTTTACTAATAGCGTCATTTAGCAACAGTCTTGTCAGAGCATGTCAAAACCCTGTTAATTTTCTTCTCTGTGTTTGTTGGGTGATTGCGGAACATTTCAGCATAGTGCCTCCATAAGTATCATTACCATTATTTGTACAGAGATAACTGTCGTGAATCTTGCGGTTTATTGGATAAAGCTTTGACTCACGAAAAATACCCATTTATTCATTAGTAACAAAAACACAGTGTTTTTCTTCAGTGAAGAAATTTTTTTTCAACGACATAATTTTCAAGCTGTACAGTCGTATTTATATTACAGAAAAAAGTTATTAAGTGGCACTAAATAATTGCTCAGTCAATATAAGTGATAAGAATAACGATAATTAAAGTAAT